GCTTTCTAGAACTTTCAGAGTTAGAAAGGAGAGAGAAGTCAATGCCTGGCTTCAAACTGCAAAAGGACCGGTTGACTCTCTTGCTCGGGGCTAAGGCAGCTGGTGACTTTAAGTTGAAACCGTGTTGACATACTATTCTGAAAATCCTAGGCCCTTAAGAATTCTGCTGAATCTGCTCTGCCTGTGCTCTGTAAATGGAACAAAGTCTGGATGACAGCACATTTTTTGTAAACAGAACTTAATTTTAAGCCCACTGTTGAGACCTCCTGCTCAGACAAAAAAAGATTCCTTTTTAAGTTCTACTGCTCGGGGAGCCTGGCTGGCTCAGTCATTAAGCATCTGCCTTCAGCTCAGGTCATGATCCCAGGGTCTTGGGATCGAGCCCCATGTCGGGCTCCCTGCTCGGCAGGGAGTCTGCTTCTCCCTCTCCCTACTGCATGTGTTTTCTCTCTCAAAAAGAACAAAGATAGCTTAAAAAAAAATATTGCTGCTCATTGACAAGGCACCTGGTCACCTGAGAGCTCTGACGGAGATGTAGAGTAACGCGAGTGTTGTTTTCAAGCCTGCTAACACCCGTCCACCCCACAGCCCATGGGTCGAGGAGTCATTTCAACTTTCAAGTCTTATTTAAGAAATATATCTCATCAGGCTATGACTGCCACGGATGGGGATTCCTTTGATGGATCTGGGCAAAGTTAATTGATAAATCTTCTGGAAAGGATTCACCATTCCCAATGGCATTAAGAATATTTGTGGGGCACCTGGGTGGTTCACTTGGTTGAGTGTCCAACTCTTAGTCTCCGCTTAGCTTTTAACCTCAGGGTTGTGAGTTCAAGCCCCTTGTTGTGCTCCATCCTGGGCACGGAGCCTACTTAAATAAAAACAAAACATTTATGATTCATGGAAGAGCTCAAAATAGCAACAGCAACGGCAGTTTGGAAGAAGCTGACTTCAGCCCTCACAGATGACTTTGAGGGGTTCCAGACTTCAGTGAAGGAAGGAAGTGCAGATGTGATGGAAATAGCAAGGGAACTAGAATTAGCAGGGCAGCCTGGAGATGTGTCTGAATTGCTCTAATCTCAGGCTAAAACTGTAACAGATAAGGAGTTGCTCCTATGGATGAGTAAAGAAAGTGGTTTCTGGAGATGGAATCTACTCCCGGTGGAGACGCCGTGCAGCCTGCTGCAGTGACAACAAAGAATTTACAGAGTGCGTAAACCCAGGTGACAGAGCAGTGGCAGGGCTTGAGAGGATGGACTCCACTTTCAAAAGAAATTCTGTGGGCAAAACGCTATCAAACAGCATCAAATGCTACTGAGAAATTGTGAAAGGAGGAGTCAACTAATGTAGCAGACTTCACTGTCTTGTCTTAAGAACTTGCCCCAGCCGCCCCAGCCGCCCCAGCCTTCAGCAGCCACCACCCTGATGAGTCCGGAGCCCTCAACTTTGAGGGCAAGACCCTCCACCGGCAAGAAGATTACAACTCGCTGAAAAGTTCCGATGATGGCTGGTATTTTTTAATTCAGGTATGTCTGTTTTTTAGACATAATGCTGTTGCACACTTAGTGTAAACATTTATATGCTCTGGGAAACCAGAAAACTCGTTTGACTCACCTTATTGCGATGTTCCCTTTGTTGCAGCGCTGGGGGGCTGAACGGGCACTGTCTACAGGGTGGGCGTCCGCTACTGACTGTCCTTGCCATGCTCTACATCACTGCCCCATGACTTTTTCTATAACTGGACATTTGCACCTTCCGACTCCCTTTACCCAGTTCACCTTCCCCCTCCTCACTCTTCACCCCTGACAACCACTGGTCTGTTACTGGTCTTCTGTAGCACGGTTGTTGGTTCTTGGTTTTCAGATTCCGCATGTAACTGAGATCACACAGTAATTGTCTCTCTCTGACTTTGCTCTCAAGGTCTATCCAAGTCACAAATGGCAATACTCTGTCCTTTTTTATGGCTGGATCGTACTTCATTATGACAGTGTGTGTGTATGAAAAAATATAGAGACAAAATACATAAGATATTTATCTATATGTATATATAGATACACACATGTATCTATATACACATTTTCTGGTAGTTTTACTTTTAAACCTGAGGAACCTCCACACCATTTTCCACAGTAGCTACACCAATGTGCTTTCCCACCAACACAGCATAAGGGTGGTCTTTCCTCCACATTCTCACCAACACTTGCTGTCTTTTTGCCAACAGCCATTGTAACAGGTACAAGGTGTTAATCTCATTGTGGTTTTGATTTGCATTTCCCTGATGAGGGATACTGAGCAACTGTTCATCTATTTGTTAGCCATCTGTGTATCTTTAGAAACGTGTCTGTTCAGATCCCCTAATTTTTAGTTGGGTTTTTAGTTTGTTTTTAGTTATTAGGAGTTTCTTCTTCTTTTTTTTTTTTTAAAGACTTTATTTGAGAGAGAACAAGAGAGCACAAGCAGAGGGGCTGGCAGAGAGAGAGAGAGAGAGAGAGAGAGAAGCAGACTCCCTGCTGAACCCTGGGATCATGACCTGAGCCAAAGGCAGATGCTTAACCAACTGAGCCACTCAGGCGTCCTGAGTTATATAGGAGTTTTGTTTTCTTTTTTCTTTTTTCTTTTTTAAAGATTTTATTTACTTATTTGACAGGGAGAGCATAAGCAGAGGGAGCTGCAGGCAGAGGGAAACAGAAAAGCAGGCTCCACGGCTGAGCAGGGAGCCTGACTCAAGGCTTGATCCCAGGGTCCTGGGATCGTGACCTGAGCTGAAGGCAGACGCTTAATTGAGCCACCCAGGCGCCCCTACAGGAGTTTTAAAATATATTTTGGATATTAACCCCTTAGCAGATACGATTTGCAAATACTTTCTCCCATTCACCAGGTTGCCTTTTCATTTTTTTGTTGGTTTCCTTTGCTGTACAGAAGCCTTTTAGTTTGATGTAGTCCCATTTGTTCATTTTTGCTTCTGGGGTGAGATTCAAAAAATCACCCAAGATTGACATCAAGGAGCTTACAGCCTATTGGTTTCAAGTCTTTAATCCATTTTGAGTTTTAATCTTTGCATGGTTTACGATAGTGATCTAATTTTCCCACCATTTACTGAAGAGATGGTCCTTTCTCAATTATATTCTTGCCACCTTTGTCATAAATTAACTGATCATACACCCACGGTTTTATTTCTAAACTCTGTGTTCTGTTTTATTGATCCAGAGCATACTGTTTTGATTACTATAGCTTTGTAATGTAGTTTGAAATCAGGGAGCATGATGCCTCCAGCTTTGTTCTTTCTCAAGGTTGTGTTGGCTATTTGGGGTCTTTTGGGGTTTCATACATTTTAGGATTGTTTTATTTTCTTATTTTGATATTTATTTATTTGGTTGTGGGGAGAGGGACAGAGAGAGAGAGGGAGAGTCTTAAGCAGACCCCACGCTGAGCACGGAGCCTGATGAGGGGCTCAGTCTCCCAACCGTAAGATCTTGACCTGAGACAAAACCAAGAGTTGGTCTGCTACACCCAGGCACCCCTTAGGATTGTTTTAAATTATGCCACCAGAATTTTGAGAGACTGAACTGATTCTCTAAGTTGTTTTGGGTAAGTGTGAATATTTTAATAATAATCTTCTAATCTGTAAACATGTAGTATCTTTCCATTTATTTGTCTTCAATTTCCTTTGTTAATCTGAGAGTTTTCATTGTACAGGTCTTTCATGTCTTTGTTTAAATTTATTCCTGGGTATTTTGTTCTTTCTGATGCCACTGCAAGTGGGATAGTTTTCTTAATTTCTCTTTCTGGTAGTTTGAGTGTACAGAAATGCAAAAGACTGCTGTATACTGACTTTGTGTCCTGTAGCTTTATGGAATCTATTAGTTCCAACATTTTTTGGTCTTTAGGGTTTATATAATGTCATATTATCTGCCAAGACTGAGAGCTTTACTTCCTTTCAGGACTTAGCTCTGTTCTTTTCTTTTCTTTCTTTCTTTCCTCCTTTCCTTTCCCTTTTCCTAATTGCTCTGGCTAGAACTTCTCACACTGTGTTAAATAACATTTAAAGTTGGACATAAAAAGCAAAGTGGCCCCAAGGAAAGTTTAAAACTAAATGTTGAACCCTGAGTTCCTAGACCAACTCCCTTCTTTTTATGGAGCCCCACATGGGTAATGGAGGCATCAGAAACCGTTGTAAGTTACTGCTCTGGAACAAACCACCCCAAAACTTAGAGGTTCAAACAGTAATCATTTCTCTCATGGTTTCTGTGGACTGGGAATTTAGGAAAGGCTCTACTTGGCAATCCAGACTCACGGTATCTGATGCATTTGCAGTTACAGTGGCCAGAGCCAGAGTAGCAAGAGGTTAGAACACTAGGGACTGGCCAGGCATTTCTCTCTGCTTGGAGTTTCAGAATCTGTGTAGGCTGGTTTGGGCTTCACAGATTGTGGCTTCAGGGTAGTATTTCGATATGGTGATGCAAGGACTACCAGCCTGTGTAGCTTGCATGTTTCAACAAACCAGCTGTTAAGCTGTGTTGCCTTTTATGATCCAGCTTTTGGAAGTCTCACAGCAGTACTTTCTGTGATCTTAAACCAGTCTTGATCTGGGGAGTATTAGACCTGACTGATCTTTTACAACTGCCACATCTACCCTCAAGAAGCCCATCTGGGGGGCACCTGGATGGCTCAGTTGTTGGGCGTCTGCCTTCGGCTCAGGTCATGATCCCAGGATTCTGAGATCGAGCCCCGCATCGGGCTCCCGGCTTGGTGGGAAGCCTGCTTCTCCCTCTCTCACTCCCCCTGCTTGTGTTCCCTCTCTCGCTGTGTCTGTCAAATAAATAAATACAATATTAAAAAAAAAAAAAAAGAAGCCCATCTGGTGTGGGAGGCAAGACCAGTCCAGGTAACCCCATCAAGAGAATACCCTAAGGTAAGCTGCCCCAGGTAGAGGGCCATGGGAGCTCACAGAGGGGAGTAAGGGAAGGTGCTGGTGCAGGTGACCTTTGAGCTGATTCTTAAACTGGCCTGACATTTTGAAGGGCATTAGCAAGGCCCAAAAATGATAAATGAGTGATTACTTAAGATTGCAACCGTAAATGGCTAAAGGGAAGGAGTGAGCGAAGAGGCCAGAAACGTGACCCAGATCAAAGAATGCCCAACTAAGCAGCTTGGGGTGTGGATGCGACATGGGCAGAAAAGTAATAGAAGGTTCCAACCGCCTCCAGCCACAATTACCATGGGAGAAATGTCGGGTTTTCCTTCTTGCCCATTCCCACCCTTCTCCTGAGTGGTTATTACAGGCGTTTACATCAGTCTCCCAACTTGGAAATTCAGGAAACTAAGCAGATTTGACTTGGCTTTATAAGTTGCTCAAACCATCACCTAAAATGTGATAGGATGAAGACAAGTGTTGAAGCCTGAATGGCACACTCTTAGTGGTACCTGTTGTGTAGATCAGTATAGTCCAGAACTTTCTGTGATAATGGAAATGTTCTCTGTGCTGTGCAGTTGGGATGCTACCTAACCACATGTGGCCACTGAGCACAGAAGATCTAAGGCTAGAAATGGACTTTTAAATTTATTGAAATAACACATGTGCTTAGTGTACTGGCCAGTAAGGCCTACTTGAAGGATCTGACAAGTGAAATAGAGCGGCTAGGGCTGGCATCGACCCCAGTGTGTACTGTGGGAGTCCAGGGTAATGGGACTAGCCACAAAGTAATCCCACCCTAATTCGGGTTTACTGGCTGGATCTGAAGGAATAATAAATATCGAGAGAGCCCTGTTGGAAAGTACTATCCAAGACCTTAAAGTAGGGAATAGTGACAAGTTGTCACTTGAGGAATGTCTTGGTAAGGGATTCCCAGCTCTCCCTCAGCTGGGCAATGAGAGCTTACTTTTAGCCATGGAACTCCCTTTTTCAAACAGACTTCCACAGACTCCTACTATAGATGGTTAGTAACTTGGAGCTCTCTCAGTTCAAGGAAGGGGTGGACATTCAGTGGCTGTGCCGCCTGGGTCCTAGAAATGCTAACAGGAAATTCTTCATCCTTCCCAATCTCTCTCCAACCTGCAGCAGGTCTTGAAATCAATAATGCAGCCTCAGGTTTATTGTTTGAAACAAATTTATTCTCAGAATGCACAAAAGTAGAGGTTGAGGCTACCTTTGGGAGGCTTTCCCCCCCTCCCCCTCCTCTCTGACTGCCAGGGAGAATAGAGTTGAAGGAAACATGCAATCACAAACAATGATCAACTCTAAAGACAAAAAGGTTTGGTCCAAAAGAACTCAACATAATTAATCCAATTACTGTGAAGAGCTTCACTGAGTAGGATTAAGATATTGCAGATGTAGTGGTTCCACAGGGGGGGGCTCTTCAGTGCACCAAGGGGGCCTGCTTGAGGGAGATGAGGACAGAGCGCATGCGGGAGACGTCTTTGGCCTGCTTGCTGGACTTGGGGTTAAAGTCACACAGCCGGGCCACCCGCTCCCACTCAGTGCCTGGGGACGACTCATCTATGTCGTTTACAAAGGCTTCTTCTGCTGCCCTGGAAGCAACAACAAAGTATGTTGGTTTAATGCAGAACCACCCCCATGAGCTACCTGGCGGCTACCTGGTGACAGAAGTGACTGTGTCTTCGTGCCTGACTTCCTGGCATTCCGGTTTTCCAAAGAGAATAGCCCCTGGCTGAGGTCCGACTCGGGAGCAGACATGTGGCCAGTTCTCCTAGGCACAGGGTGCCCAGACCACTGTGTAAAATGTTGGAATACAGGTGTTTGGTTCAGGGCTCACTCTCTCTCTGTCTCTGCTGATACAGAGCATTAAAAAGCAAGTCCTTAGCCAGCTATGCACTGCCTTCATCAGCAGGAGCAAAGCAGCAGGCCGGTCAAGAATGTGCACTGTAGTTGATGTTGGGCTCTGAGTTTCAAGTGAATCGAGAGACTTCTCAAAAGCCCACTGGTCATTGCACGATAGCCTCTGGATTTATTCCTAAGGCCAGAGAGAAACAGGGCAGATCAAAAGGAAATCAAGACACAGCTCCCATGCGAGCAGGTGCTAGAGACTGAAGCCATTCTGGAAGGGGATTTGTTAGGACATTCTCCAGGTGAGCTGCAAGTTGGCCATTTTCCCTCCAGCCAGGTGCCTTGGGCCACTCAGGGCACGCTCTAGAAGGGGGCAGTGCCTAATGGCTGAAGAGCCCATCAAGGTTAGCTGCTTGGGGGTAGGATGCTGCTCCAACATTCTTTCACATCAAGGTCAGCCCACCCCCAGTTGGGAACTACCTCGTGGGAGCTACAGCCTGAAAGGACAGTGGAAAGAGGAGGGAAGACACACTATATTCATCTACTCCAACAAGCATCACGGGCAAAGCGAAAGCAATGGAGATGACTGGTCTGTGGGGACGGAGGGGTGGCACTCTCACAGGGATGGCCGTGGCAAACACTGCTGAAGCCCGGAGCCACTACAACACTGCGACTTCATGGCACACACAGTGAGGGGCAGTGAGAAAGGTTTACTTAACTGTTCTAGGCTGTAGCAAGGATGGTTTATGTTTGTGCTTAAAGGTGAAGAGAAGAAAAGAAACGAGAGAAACTTTAGGTCAGATATAGAAAATGAGAATGAGCTCAATGCAGATGGTCAGTAAGCTAGACATGCCCTTGCCACTCCGTCTACACTTGGGAACGTGCAGCTGGCTTTGCTGGGCCACCCTGCTGCCCAGCAAACCCAGACTCGACCTTTCCAGTCTCCATTTCCACTCCAGAGAGAATGTGCAAAAATCAATCCAACACCACCTGTAAATCCAGCATTTCACAAATCTCACTGCAAATGCATCTGGGGACCCGGGAAACTCCGCTCTGTATTCTAAAGGGATGAACATGTCGAGGTCACAGACCCTAAGAAGCTCTACAGACATGAACCTATCGTCCGCCCTTCCTGCCCCTTGTTCTTCCCTCTACCCCCATCTCCCTTGTATGAAAATTGAGTACTACTTTTTCAGGAAACAGCAAGAACTGTTTCCAAGTTGTCTTCGGCAATACTGTTTTGAAAGTAAGAGTCCTTAAATATCTTCCCAGAGAAGGTCCAGTTTTCTTGGGGGTGGGGGGAGCCACAGTGGCCCAGGCTTAGGCTATCTCTATCTGAAAAAGCTGGGGCTTCTTTGTGCCCAAGTGGGGGAACAGGCATCAGAAGCTGGCCACTGAACAATTTCCAACATAGAGAAACAGTTACAGGACCCCCCCCCCCAAAGTGAGACAACCTCTGCTCCCAAGGGAGAAGCAACCAACCCCACATGGTCTTCAAAAGAACCAAATGGAGAAAATACTGCCCCCACTGGCTCCCAAGCAGGGCGGCTGCAGTGGTGGCAGCAACAGCTTAAAGGCCACCCCAGTCCCAAAGCCTTCCCTGACAAGGTCGCCAATGACCCACATTTTAAAAGGGAATCCGCTTCCTTCCCTCCAAAACCCCAAAAGTGGAAAAAAGGCTCAGTTAAAGGGAGTCACGCTTCTGCAAGACAATCGATGAATCACACCCCCAACCTTCTAACTCTCAGGCAGTCCCCAGAGTGCCAATTTGAAATCATTTAGAAAGCAGAACAACTTGTGACATTACAGGAGCATTAACTCTAAACAAGAAGTAGAATCAAAACAGGAAAAAATCAGTTTTGCAACATACACATAACCAATCACGTCAGCGAAGGGTTGTCTGTAGAAAGCTTCATCTGCCACCCTAGACAGCAAGAGGTCCAAAAGGCAGGCAAGCGGGCAGGAAAAAAGAGAGAACATTGAGAAGCAGAAACATCTCAAATCCGTAACACAGGCACGACTGTGCTCCGGACGTGGCTCCCACGGCTCTGTGCTCACCCAGCGAGGCTTCAAGCGCCGGAGACCCTGGCAGGCAAGGTTCCCACTGGCCTTCCCCCTGGGGATTCTCACAGGTGAGCCCTGCCGAGTCCTTCCCGCCTTCTCCCAGCCACAGCGAGCAGGTCTCGGCACCCACGTCCAGTGAGTCCTCGCAGAGCTGCCGCGTCCACTCAAGCCGGTCCTCGACCCCGACAACCTCGGGCCCACGTTCTCACGGACACTTACAGGTAAAGGAACAGGAGGCCGGGACTGGCAGCAACCTGCTCAACGGGGGTGGCCCCAGAACTCCCAAGCAAACCTGCCTGGCTCTTCGCACGGGACAGTGTGGCTGCCCCGCAGCTGTGCACTCGGGAGACTCCGTCTGACTGGGCGTCAGTGCTGCCAGACGCCAGACCGGCTACGCCTGGCAGCCAACTTTTATCTTCGATCATCTGACTCCTGCTGCCCTGCCCTGACTGAATGAGATCCATTATGTGTATTCTGGGAACAGAGGTGGTCATTGCAAACTCCCCACCTTAAAGGAAAAAGTTGCCGTACTCAAGTGGTCTGGTGGAAAGCACGGCAGCCAGGGGTCCTGGCTCTGGCTTCCTGTCTGTCCCTGAAGATGCTGGTCTGCTCGGTCCATGGCAGACTGGACCGCTGTCCCAAGGTATAGCCCGGGGACCAGAACTTCACTTAACCCTCTTACAACACCAGAAATGGGTCAAAGTGGCAGGACTCTGGGACAAAAAGGAAAGGGGGGCATCCTGGGTAGAAAACTTTCCACCCCAGTGGACAAGCTGGCTTAAACCTTATTGCCCCAGGGCGAATCCCCGGGCCTGGCCAGCCCACACCATCCACTGTGGGTGGGCAGGGAGCCTCCCCCACCCAGGAGTCCTATCCTGTCTTTTGCCAGGTTGGTCTGGGGTATAGGAGCAGAAGGGACATTTTTAAGGACGATCATGCCTGCTTATTAACCTAGGCGCCCTTATTTATTTGGAGGGAAATTCTAGTAATTTTATTTCAGTTTATTTTTAAACTCACACATAGCCTTCCTTCTTTCCCGTTTTGGTTTACACATAGGTGGTGATTTGTGGAAATTTAAAGAAAGCAAAAAAGAACAGCCTGATTGTAATTCTGAATCGGCAAGAAAACAGAGTTGTTTGTGGGCAGAATGAGTGGGCAGGAAAGGAAAGGCAGGCGGGCTTGTAAACCCATAATCCCGTTAGTTTACACAAGGGGCTAAACATAATCAATTTCAACTTGTGCTTGCTCCTACTGAAGAAAATAAAGGTTGAATGACTATGGTCACAGCATCACTAAGACAACAAAAGCTTGAATGGCAGGCTTTCCCGCCTTTGCAGCTAACCCCAAGACTACAGAACTCGTCAGGGACAGCATAGCACCATCCAGGCTACGGACAAACGGAGCAAACAGAAAACCCGGATCACCACAGGCAGCCCCTCTACCTGTATGGTCTTCACCTGTCAGAGGGGTCTGAAAGCAGCAATCCTCAGGGAAGCCTGTGGGAAACGGGGGCTGGACCACAGGGTGCTCAAGCAGTGACCCACATCAACAGTCCCCAGAGGGCGTGGAAAAAATGTCTGCCATCATGGAAAACCAGGTTCCCCAAACTTTTTTTAAGTCTTGAAAAAGATACACCACAGCTCCCTGTGAAAGGGAATGTTTCTGTCACCGTTGTAAGGGAAGACGGTCTGGGGCTGCCCTCAGGTCAACACTCTTCTGACTGGCTCCAGTGGAAAGCTTTTTTCCCCACAGGCTGTCACTAATAATTCATGGTTCTTGTACAATGACATTTGGGCCCCAAGTTGGGACAAAAGGAATGAGATAGAAACTGCGGGGGGGGGGCACCTGTGTGGCTCAGTGGGTTAAGCCTCTGCCTTCGGCTCAGATCATGATCTCAGGGTCCTGGGATTGAGCTCCGCATCGGACTCTACTCGGCGAGGAGCCTGCTTCCCCCTCTCTCTCTGCCTACTTGTGAGCTCTCTCTCTCTCTGTGTCAAATAAATAAATAAAATCTTAAAAAAAAAAAAAAAAAAAAAGAAACTGCAGAGGGACACCAGACTACAGATGCCTTGAAGGCAAGATCAGCTGTCAATCTGCCCACTGCCCAGCACCGTGCCTGGCACAGATGTGCTCCTGAGGTTTTAGGTTAGGTCATCTAAAAGGCAGGAGGTCTGATGATACACTCCTAGAAACAGGCCCTTGCTCCCCACCACATACATCTCTTCTCTCAAACTGCTCTGCTTTAGCGTTGTGGGCCCCTAAAAAATGCAGCGGCAAAAGTCACCCAGAGGAAGACACATGCCTGAAATGAGCACTCTATTTTCTCCTGAGATTCACTATTTACCTACAGACAGTTCTTTCACATATGTAAACGGACTTACTCACTTAGTCCCATGGGACACTATTTAGAGTCAGAAATGGAGGGGGAGGGCGCCTGGGTGGCTCAGTTGGTTAAGCGACTGCTTTTGGCTCAGGTCATGATGCTGGAGTCCCAGGATTGATTCCTGCGTTGGGCTCCCAGCTCCATGGGGAGTCTGCTTCTCCCTCTGACCTTCTCCCCTCTCATGCTCTCATTTACTCTCTCTCAAATAAATAAAATACTTAAAAAAAAAGAAAAATGGAGGGGGAGTGGCAACAATGTCAAAATCTCCAGGGAAGGGGGGAAACCATTTCAAGAAGTCCCCCACGGTGGCTCTAAGTGGCTCCTGCCCCAGCCCATGAAGGATAAGTGGAATTAAGTGTCAAAACCATTTCTTCTATCCTGGAACCCTGGTGATAAAGGCCAGTGCGCCACTAATTTGAGAGAGTCCACCCTATGCTTCAAGGTTTCTGCAAAGCAAGGGATCTGGTTGGGAACAGTCCTACATTCTCCGTGAATGGCAAGTGTAAGTCTCTTCCCCTCTCTGGAACCTGGGAGGTTCATCTATGAGACCATCCAACCCACCCTTCTACAATTCTAAGAGAGGTACCAACGCCCTAAATCCATGCCTGGAGGGACTAAACCTGGGGGACTGAGCTCCTAGGAACGGTACACTTATTTGGTCCAAGGACAACAGATGCTGTTCAGACACCCCTTTCTTTACAGAAAGGGCCACAGTTTAGCAAAACTGCCATCAGAAGCCTATTCCCAACACAGTCATTTAAGTCTTAGGATCTATATATCAGCTTGTCTACACATCAGGGATCCCGAACAGGGAGGGTCAGCCTGATTCTATCAAGTACTTCAGGGCAGAATGACTCATGGGCAACTTGCTAGGATAAATGGGGCTTGCACAAAGCACCTACTCGTCCCCCTTTAGAGATCTGAACTTGTGCCTCAGGTCAATCATCGTGAGTGAGCAGAGAATAAAGCAGAGCCGGGCCCTGTCAGCACTTGACGCTGACCACAAGCTCAGGAGAGGCCCACAAGCTCAAGTGGCCCAGCCCTGTGCAACTCAACACCGAGAGCAGAGAGCAGCCCACCGTGCTTATCACAGCGCCTCACCTGGGACCTGAGACGCACGCCTAGAGAATCCATCCCCCACCAGACACGGGCCCCAGCCTGCCAGATGCAAGGACGGCCAACAAGAGACAGGCAGCTGAAGGCTACCGTACACGACAGTCCCGCTGTTCTGCCGTCGCTGCCCTGTGATAAACAGCACAGGCCGGCTGGCAAAGCAGTCCGCTCCCTCTTTTCCGGCACATTTCCAGCTAAGAGCTGCCTGAGGCAAGAGCATGCAAACCACCTTCTGCCTCTGAGGGCAGGATCCTAAGGCTCTTTATACTGAAAACTACCAACACCCCCGGCTTGGTCTCGCTGCTCTTTCCTGGGAGGTAGAGGAGTGACCACGGAGGGACAGCTGGGTTCCGAATCCCCCAGGATGGGCCAGCCCCCAGCCTGCATCAAGGCCAGGAGTGCTACCTCCGCCTTTCTCTGAGCTACTTCCAAGTGGACTTTAAGCACGGAGTAATCAAGACTGCAGGTGCTGTGAGAGGGGCTAAGAGAATGAACGTGATTTCTCCCTACAATTGCTCTCAACCTTCACTGAGTGAGCCCATTCTGAAGAGCATTTTTAAAAAAATAGAGTTTTTCTTAGACGCCCTTATTTCTGCAGTCACCATGTTGGAACATTCTCGGCTACTTAATGACACACATTTCCCTGCTACTGGACCCCTCTGTAAAGCAGCTTTCAGAAGGCAGGACTGTATTTAGAGGATGCAACATGACCAAGTCTATGATCATCTGGAAAGTACTGAGATCCTGCTACATTCAGGAAAGCGGCCCTTCATTTCAGGGTTACATTTCCAAATGTGGAATGGATCCATGAAATAACTTTCCCTTTTGCTGTTTCGTACTATTACAAGCAATGCAGAGTGACCAAACTCTCAGCTGAAGAGCTAAAGTCACCACAGCTGGGGTGGCTGAAGGACAGGCTGAATTATGCTCCTATGACCCAAGAAGACTTGCAACCTTTACGTTTCCAGAACTTGTTCCAAAACCCACAGAGACATTTCACACTACAAGAGGCAGCATCTGAGAACTATGCTGGCTGTCAGAAATGAATGTGATTCCGTCTCGGAAAACAAACAGTGCTAGCAGCACAGGGACTGACCTGTTGTTTGCTTTTGTTTTCTGTAGCTGCTCGTCCTGCCTTGCGTACCACTCTTCTAGCTCCTTTATTGCTTTTTCTTTCCACTCTGCTTCTTGCTTCCGAGAATTGGCATCTTTGAAGGGAAGGAAAAGAAACACAAATGAGGCGAAACACAAACTGAAGTTTGCACCATCAATTTCTTTGGTCTTATTAAACATATGGGGTGTGCAGGTTTGTGTCTGTGTCCGTGTGTGTGTGTGTGTGTGTGTGTGTGTGTGTGTGTGTGTGTATTTTGGAGGGACAATAGTCAGGAGGGAAGACAAAATTCTGTTTTCCCTATTTGTACATCTAGTCTCTTATCCCAGCGATTCTATCCAAGTTGTTTCACATTTTCTCTCAGTCCACGGACACCTTAGTGGATTCAGTTGTTTTGGGGTTTCTTCTGGGAGTAGGGGAAGATACCTAGGAAAAAAGCCTTTGGCAGCACCAACTAGGGAAAAAGCAGAGCAATCTTTTTTAAAGATCTGAGAGAGAGTGCACATGCATGAGAGCCCAGAAGGAGTGGGGGAGGGAGGAGGGAGAAAGAGAAAATCTAAAGCAGATTCTGTACTGAGTGTGGAACCCGACTCGGGGCTCAATCCCAGGACCCTGAGATCATGAGCTGAAATCAAGAGTCAGGTGCCCCACCGACTAAGCTACCCAGGTACCCCAGGAGGATTCTTTAATACTTATGCTGCCAATATTAGTTCAGGGTGGACTTCTGATATTAGATAATCTTTCAACAAAATCTTCTTACATACTATATTTAACACCCCAACTCTGCCAATCGATGGTTTTGTAAAACACAAGGTAGCACTCTCTTAACTGAAAATGGGAGAAGCACTTCTACAAAGCAGAAACCTACTGTTGAAATAACCAGAGGAAGAGAGGGTTCAGGAACCAGGGAACAGAATACAGATGTTAAGAGCTGAAGGGGACCACAAAACATCTATTCCTGCTCAGACGCAGAGTGAGTCTGTGGCAGAGCTAGGACAGAACTAAAGAAGCTCTAATGGAGAGGACTGCAGGGGGTTGAGGTGGAGTGGTGGGACTCATTAATAGTTAATCAGAAGGTTCTAGAATGAGAGAGAAAACACAAACTTAGGAAGTTTTCCAGACTGGATTCGCAAATGACAACTAGCTAAAAAAGACCAAGTCAGTAGATAGCAAGAGACAGAAATGCAGGTCAGGGCTAGGGCTGCAGTGGACATCTGAAGTTACCCTGAGACTTCACTTGGAACACATTCTTAAGCATCCTCTCTGGCAGGTGTTTTATAATAGACCTCTCATTTAATCTTTACAACAATCCCGAGAAGGTCAACTCTAGATCCATGTTCAGCACTGAGAAAAACTATAGCTCAGAGAATTTCAGTTACCTTTCCTTAAGTGGCTGAGCTAAGATTCAAACCCAGGTCTGACTCTGAAGCTTACCCGTTCTTACTTCATTAAGCTGCCTCCAAAGAGAGGGATGGAAAGGAAAACAAAACTAGAAACAATCAACCACAAAACGGGAGCAGAAGGTGATCACCAGTGATCCAAACAAGAGTTTGGACAGTGCAGAGCCAGAGCCCAACCTGTAACTAGCTAGCATCACGGAAGAGGAGAAAGCAGTGGTGGCGACGGTGAGTAACCCCTTGAAGGGAAGAAATTAAGCCCTTTGGGGCATTTTTCAGGGCCTTTCCAAGAACGTCTTATAGTAACAACCTGCAGAAGGCTTGGTCTGTAGCTACTGGAAATAGCTTGTTAGCAGCTAGAAACTTCCTCAAAGTTTCAGATTATAAAGAACTTGTACCCTGTTATTTAATTTATCAGAAGGTGACTGATCAATTTTTTTTTTGAGAGACTGGGAGGGTGTCCACAAAGGGGGAGAGAAAAGAGTCTTAAGGTTATACGCCCAGGATGAAGCCTGACACGGGGCTCAATCTCACAACTCTGAGATCATGACCTAAGCCACCCAGGCGCCCCACACAGAATTCTTTTATACTCAGATTTTCACTGATGAGTCAAGTCTATACAACAGACTTCTGATATGTGTCTGCGGCACTAAGGAGAAGTAGAATGGAGGGTGCTAGAATGCAGTGGGAGATGCTTTGGGCTGCCAGTGTATGTGGACAAGAAACCAAAAAATAGGAAGCTTAAAAATCTCTTTTTCAGGGATGCCTGGGTGGCTCAATTGTTTAAGCCGCTGCCTTGGGCTCAGGTCATGATCCCGGGGTCCTGGGATCGAGTCCTGCATCGGGCTCCTTGCTCGGCGGGGAGCCTGCTTCTCTCTCTGCCTCTGCCTGCCTCTCTGCCTGCCTGTGTGTACTCTCTCTCTCTCTGGCAAATAAAATCTTAAAAAGAAACCCAAAAAACTATTTTTCTATAGTGGCGAAATCACTTCTGAAACATTACTTTTTGATTGGGTATTTCCTTTCTTTGTAGTCTGAAGATGATTTTTTTAAAGTTTTAATATACTAGGAACAAAATAACAGAAATTTACTCTGAAAAATTAATCTAAATAAAAACTGCAACCATCTGCAAAGATTGTAGTTACTGCATAAAAACCAACCCTTTAAATTGTCTTGCTTTTACAGATTTTTTTTAAAAAGCTGACAAAGAATTTAGAATTCTGGGACGCCTGGGTGGCTCAAATGGTTAAGCATCCGGCTTCAGCTCAGGTCATGATCCCAGAGTCCTGGGATCAAGTCCCGCATCGGGCTCCCTGCTCAGCGAGGAGCCTGCTTCTCCCTCTCCCTCTGCCCCCTGCTTGTGCGCTTTTTCAAATAAATAAAATCTTAAAAAAAAGAAAATTAGAATTCTTAAATGCTTAGTTCAGCAGAACAAGGATCCAAGTGACAACATGATCTTTGCATCTGGGCAGAAGAGGGAGGGAAGGCTGAAGAGTTCCCTTAGCAGGGAGCACAGACGGCAGTCTTCTCGAGCAGTCCTTGTTACTGTTCACGGAAAATAAAACTCTGAGAATGCAGTCACCAGCTAAGCTGAAAACCACGCACACTGGTTCTCTATTTTTAGCATCTTATGCTTTCTTGCAAAGTAAAAAGATGAAACTGAAGAAACACCTAGTTCACAGACCAATTTAATTCAATTGCAAAGCCAAATGTTTGCAGAAAAGCATCTTGAGTTAAGGAAACAACACTTCATGGAATATTCCCAAAGTGCCTAATCTGATCATTGGAAAGGGGCGGGGGGTTCCAGATACCAAAGTGACCTAAGTATACTCTCTTCATGGAGAAGACAACTTCGCTAAACTTTGGGAAAAGAGAAAGGCTGGGTTCTGTAACATGACAAATATTAGTACCAGCGAAGTCCTGCCTTTCTGCCCACTCAGAAGAGACACACAAAGAAAAAGCAAAGACTGAAGCTACCAGCATCATGAAGACAAATGTTCATCTTTTTAAAGCACTATCAAATACAGTAGCTACTAGCCACATGTGGCTATTTATTAAATTAAAAATTCAGTTTCTCAGTCATACTAGTCACATTTCAAGCTCTTAACAGCCACATGCGGCTAGTGGCTACCATATGGTACAGCACATCTGTAATATTTCCAAAGAAATTCTACTGGACAGTGCCACAAAGGTTCAAACAAAGTGTGCCCTTTGTTCTAAAAGCCACATAAGCTGGGCTGGAGAGAGAACAGATTTGGCACTAACTGGGTCGTACTTCTAGGTGTCAGTTAACCCCATATAACAAATAAGGAGTCAGTTTGTACTAATTCAATGGTTCCCAAAAAAGACTAATAATGCTGACACTGTGGGTACAAAGAACGTCGTTATTTCCAGATATATAACAAAATATTTAGGCATGAAATAGATGATGTATCTCCAAGTGGATGAGAAATGTGTGTGTATAAAACATACATACATACATACATACATGCTTCATTTACATACAGAGAACTCAATATGGCAAAAATGTTAATCACTGAATCTAAGGGAGTACACACAAGTTCATTTTACTCTTCTTTCAACTATTTGGTGTCTGTAATTTTGTTTCAAGTTTTACTAAGTAATCTCTATACCCAAATGAGGCTCGAACTCATGACCCCAAGATCAAGAGTTGCACACTCTACCAACTGAGCCAGCCAGATGCCTATGTTTGAAATTTTAATAAAAAGATGAGGGGACGCCTGGGTGGCTCAGTTGGTTAAGCAGCTGCCTTCGGCTCAGGTCATGATCCCAGCGTCCTGGGATCGAGTCCCGCATCGGGCTCCTTGCTCATCAGGGAGCCTGCTTCTTCCTCTGCCTCTGCCTGCCATTCTGTCTTCCTGTGCTTGCTCTCTCTCCCTCTCTCTCTGACAAATAAATAAATAAAATCTTTAAAAAAAAAAAAAAAAAAAAAAAAAAAAAAAAAAAAGATGAGAAAAGAATACCCCACGGCTTTATCTCCACACTGTGCCACACCTCTGCAACCCACTTATGCACAGATGCCAAGTCCCATGACCTTGACCAAAAGTGACACTCCATGTACACAGATCTTCACCGAAGGCCAGGCCGGCTGGCACTGATGTCGGTGGGACGGCATACACTACATGCGAGGTGGCTGAAGGATGCAGGGGTACGGACTACGAGGCAGGGCAGACATAAGTGGAGTTCTGACGCTACCGCTTCTTAGCTGTGTGATTCAAAAACTTACCCTAGGATTCTCACTTTCCTCACTCACAAAAACATACAAACTTAGCTTACAGGGATAGTAGAGTAGGAAAATCAAGTTGTACAGGTTTCCTAACATACTTCACATTTTCTTCTTAAAGCATTACCTTACATTCAGCCTAGAAATGATAGACGGACTCTGAAGTCTCTCACGCAGGGACCTTCAAGCTCGCATCACTCTCTCATAAACACCATCTCAGACGAACCCTGGAGTTGCTAACACTGATCTTACCACATAGACTAAGAAACAGACTCTGCGAGGTTTGAACCACCAAGTGCCCATAGCTAGGAAGAGTTAATAAGGCTGGGCCTTGAATCTATTCTTTCCTTGCTCTAAGCTCAGGACTCTGCTCTGCTCTTCCCGAGAGGATGCACTTGACGGTGGCTCTCTGAGCTGCCCTAATCCTCACAAAATGGCCTGTGATTAAGCATCTCCCCGTGGATGACCTTGTAACCCTCAGACTGCAGAAGGTATCTTCCCAAATACTAGACAAGGACATTATGGCTAATCCCAGTTAAAAAGGGCTAAGAATCAAGGTCAATTATTCCACTGAAAACAAACACCCCAAAACAGAAAAAGATTCCTTACCGAGGGCTTCCAAGCGTTCTGTTTGCTCTTCTCTCCATTTACGGATACTTTCAGGCTCTGATTGCAATCGATCCACTTGTGAAATAGCTGCGTAACTGTCTGTTGGACCATTACTCTCCTTAACACAAAACACAATTGTGTTCTATCAGTACCAAACACACTTTCCTGAAATGCGCATCCACTGCAGGACACCCTGATCATATGCTGACGACTGTTAGCAAATGTTAGAGGATTACCTTAAAAAAGACCACCACCACCTTACACGCTCACAGGGAGCTCTCAACATGACTGCACACAACCTTCCACTCTGCAAGGAAGGCAGAGTGGTTGTTACCCTGCCTTGTAATACCTGGGACAGAAGTGGGAAAGAGGAAAGCAGGGGAGGTGGGTCATGGACTTACAAGAGAACAGTGTTACTAGTTTTAGTTTCCTAACTTGACACGCAGCTTATGTGGGATCTTCAAAGTAACAAAGGTAAATACACTGCTCAGCAAGCTAAAACTTCTAAATGCTATCAAGAGCACCTGATACCATCTAATATGTGAATTCTGGGTATAAGGAAGTCCAAAAGAAAATGTACCGTCTCTAGCCACACTGAGGGAAAGAATAAAAAGGCAGGCAAATTAGGAGTTGTGAGTGTATGCATGGGGGTGGGAACAGGGACAGATTCTTCGTAGTGTGTAAGGTCTGACAGCTAATAAACAGATACAACTCAAACAGATTTTAATCTTTAGAAAATTTTTCACCTGCTGAACTAGGGAATAAATTCCAGGTTCACCCAACCAGACTATAAAAAGAGAGAAGAATTACTGAAGTATTAGTAACTAACTTAATGACATTTTCCATGGGTTAGCCACATAAAGGCTTTATCTCCCAAGCAACTTGCAAAGTTTTTATTCCCATTTCACATTTAGGGGGACTAATCTGAGGCACAGAGGAATGACAGACATGTCCAATTCACAGCTAGTAACAGGTAGAGCCAGGATCTGAAACCCATACTTTCTCACCCTAAGGGCTAAGCTCTAAACCAGGCATTGGAAACCAGAGTCCTGACCAGCTGCCTGTTTAATTACAATTAAATTCTACTGAACACAGCTGTGTGCATTTGTTTACGTATGGTCTATGGCTGCTTTCACATTACAGCAAGAGTAGTCGGACACAGACCTTATGACAAAGCTTAAAACGTTTACTATCTAGTATTTTATGAAAAAGTTAGTCCATCCTTGGTTTAAACCAATTAGACTAACATCCTTCCTGCCAGTTAACTGGTTGAAGGATGGGCAGAAACCCAGGTCTAAGCAAAGCATCATGTTATTTCCCCAGGCTGTAGTGACTATTTCCAGGTAATCCAGAAGGAAATGCAAGACTTTTGCTGGGTGAAGAGGAGAAACCCCCACCTTGTTCTAGATAACATGACATGCACATGAGAAGCCTAGAAGTGCTGTAGTCATTTGACCACCACGAAAAAAGCTTGAGCACAAAAATGCATGCTTAGCAAGCAGAGCCAGAGTCTAGGGAAAATTAGTTAGAGTCCTGGTTCAAGGACACTTGATTTATATATATAAACTGTTAAAGACTTTTTGGTTTAAGCTAGTCTGAGTTGGGCAGGCAACTCAACACTTAGTGATACAGAGGGGAAAATAATGGCAGTCACCACAAATTCCAACCCCCTCCCCAAATACAATCTCAAAGGTTCGAACGCTGGCCCCAGCCCCACCGCATACCAGCTTTATGACTTTTAGACTACTCTGTGCCTCAGTTTCTTCATCTGTAAACAAGAACAACAGTACAGAACCACCAGGTTGTTGAGAGTATTAAACAGTAAATATAAGCAGTGTCTGACACAGTGCATGGCACATAGTGTTTAAATTAGCCACTGCTATCCTCATCGCCATGAAGGCTCATTTCTTGAAAATAAAATCAGCAATACTAGGGCCAGGTCAGTAACATTTTAAAGGAATGATTAATGTCACTTTTCAAATCCATTTTAGCAGATAACATACCCAATTCTAATAAATTCAAATCACAGGAAAGGAAAACTCAATCACTATCTTGTTAACATAATCAGAGTACTCTGTACCTGGTAGTACTCGCCATTCATCACTCCATCCACAGCATCTGCAAGACAAAATTTCAGTCAATCAGGACTCGTCAGATGCTGGGCCAGAGCATTACCGAGTGTAATACAGTACTATCTGCTGCGGGTACTGAAGTTGTACTAATGCTATCCTGGTGCTACACACCGGACAGAACAATCAACAACTTCCTGTTTAATGAAACCAAGATGTACTTCACCAAAATGTGGACAAATCTATACCAAACCCCCAATTCAAAAGCTTTTTGATCTTTTGCCCTAGAGAAAGAACACATGGATGCCTGGCAGAAGAGTCTCACAGAGCAACTTTCTCTATGAAAGTTCTGGAGAAGGCGAAAGAAAAGTGGGGCCTGGAATCATTCTGTGAGCAAGGACATGCAGCTTCGTGTTCAAACCAAGGTGCTTTTTTGGTGGTCAGGACTCTCCATCCTGTGCCTGTAGACCTAAGGGTTTACAGTTAAGACTTCTTGAGCTAATTCCCCTACACCCCTGGAACTAGTCTGGGATGGTTAAGATCTGGACATACCAAATTAAGTCAGTATTTTCAAGGATTTAAGTTACAAAAAACTCAAAGTGTGATGTATGATACAGTCTTACTGGTACAATTTATTCATGAGCTAAATGATAAAGTCTATCTGAAAAAATGTGGAAATGGTTTTTTAGTAAGAGCTAGAGAACATCAATCAATATAGTACAAAATGCAAAATGGTGGTCCACAGGCTGAACATATTTACAACATATACTATCAAGTCAGAAAATTTCACACATTCAGGATGTCTACGTTTTGGGGTGAGGGCAGGCAGACAGATCTGGCAATCTTGGGCCTGCATGAGAGGAGGGCAGCCTTTACATACAGCAAGGTCTGGTCTATCTGCGAGGACCTCCCCATCCTGCCCACCTTTTTTTTAAAAAAACCCATTCTGTGTTTCAGTAATTCAGTTATCTGATCAGCCTGATAAACATGTGTCCTAAGCCCTGCCCTGACCCACAAGCTATTGTGAAGAGGCCATCTGTCCGGGGCTGCCCACCATCCCTCAGGGGTGGCTGCTCCGCCTTCTTTCCAAGTCTCCCTACAGGCACCATAAAGACTTAAACTTCTGCCTACACAGTCTGTACTCTGGATCTTCTGGTCCACCCATATTTAGTACGTACCACCTAGGACTTGCATTACTTTGTCCAAAAAAGATTTTTTTTCCAAACTATTTGTCCAATTTTTTTTTCAAACTTATTGGATGGGGTAACGTAAGGAAGATGACAGAGAGTTGCACCCAGCGCTCAAAAAACTAATAGAAGTATTTGGGGCGCATAGTCAATTGCTCCTCAGTAATAAATCCCTTCATCTAGAACCGCTAGCACAGACCATGCCAAACGGGCAGCACTGGGAGCAGCCTGGCGCAGAGCTTCGGTGACACCATTCTCGTCACCCTGAAGACCCTCCAGTAGACAACCTTCAAGATACAGATCCCTGGGTCACAGAATATATACATTTTAAAGACGTCTAAATACAGACCACTTGCCCCTCCTTTAGTGTCTCATTTATATCACCACCATTACCACACGACTGCCCCATTTTTCAGACTCTTAGCTATACTAAAGACTGAGTTTTAGGCTTTTAAATTTTTGCTAGATTGATAGCAGGGAAAAAACTTAAGGTGACTTTGTCCCACAGATCTCTTTTTCTTGTGAGGTAATCATGTAGCTGATGTTTTTCTTCTTTACTGAACTGTCTGAGTTTTGCCCATTTTTCTATCTTTTGATCTTTATTCACTTTGTATTATTTGTCCCCTCATATTACAAACATTCCCCCATTGTCACTTTATATGGTTTCTTCTGGTACTAAAAAAAAACCAGAAATGTGTCTCTCTAATCCACCTGGAATTCATTTTTGTGTAAGACAGAAAAGAGTGAGATAACTTTGACTCTTAGAGCTTATAATGGCTAGCTAGTATGGCCAGGCCTAGGCCTAAATTCTAGTTAATATATTACATTTAACACACCAACTATCCAGTTAATATATTCCAGCCCAGGGCCATTCCCAAAAGGAGAGCCTTTGATCACTACTCCATACACAAAACTAGAAGCAATTCTCATCCCATACCTCCTCCTAAGTCACATGCTTCCTGTCCTTTAGGACTGAAGACTCATCAAACCCATTGGCCAAGTGCTTTGAGCTTCAATTAGTTACTGTACTGATGTACAACTGGCCCAAGTCAAAGAATTGCCTGTTGCTACAAAACATGCAGAAAGACATCTAGGGCCTTGACTGATTAGGACAACTAGGCTAAGCAACCTGACACTCCAGAAGGAAACTTTCTAAGGCATCTCAAAGGCCAGAATAAGTTTCCTGAGAAGAAAGACACTTTGTCCCAAACCCACCTTTTGACTTCCCATGGTGCCCATCCACTGGAAGTCAAGCAGAGGTGGGTTTGAATTCCAGTGGAGACATATACTAGCTTGCTACCTTAGGAACACTGCTTAACTTCCATGATCATTTCTTATCTCAAATACGATGCCACCATGTAGCCCGCAGTTACCGCGTGGATCGGCAGCTACAGAGAACCAGCACACAGTAAGTGCACAATACTAATTAGCAAGCATGAAATTTCCCTGAACTTCTCTCCACCACTGCTACCAAGAAAATTACTCTCCTCCTCCAGAAGGCTTTCCTTTAATTCATGTGCCTCTCTTCCTCCTCCAAGGACAGAGTGTCAGAAACAACAAATGGTGCCTCACTGCCATACTCTCTCAGTAGCTCCTTAATCACCTCTTTTTCTCCTTCCTCCTCAGCCCTCATAATTGAGGGCTTTTCAACAGCTCTACACTAATGCTGCCTCTTTCTTGACTACCTGCTCCTCCTCAGTATCTGAGCCACTTCACTCAGCTGGTTACCTCCCACCTCTAAACTTACCTCTCTTCTCCAGATCTCCTAGCTGAAGGAGTCATCCAAAGCTCGGGCCCTCTGGTTTTTGCCTGTTCCCATCCTACATGGGAGTTCTCCCCAAGACTGCAATTCAATCTGTTTGTGTCTCCTGCTGATGTATCTCTGTATAGCAATACATCAGATATAGGGCTCCCTCCTAAAATCTTTTTCCTCAGCACACCCCAAGGCCTACAGGCTTTGTAATGCCTTCTTTCTACTCCCAAAGAGTAAGAGTACAGCCAGGTACTGTGGCAGTAATATACCAAGTACTGTGTGTAAGCACTTTATAGGTACTAATGTAATCCTAGTAACCCTATGTGGTATATATCTGTACCTTGTACAGATGAAAAAATCTAAGGCAGGGCAGTGGTGGTTACCTAAGTTGCCTGAGACCACAAAGTTAAACTTACACTCAAGTAGTCTAGGACAGCACAGAATGTCAACCACCAGAGTGCCTCTTTTCAAGGAAATGAAGTGTCCAACTAGTTCTCTGATCCCCAAAGGAAGTGCTGACCATGCACTACTGCCAATCTCAACTACACTGTCAGAGGTCTGGCTTTAAATCACTAAATGCTTAGTTCACTAAGAAAGTCCTTCCTAGAAACTAAGTCAGCAATCATCCCTTCCTTCCCTTTGCTGAAAGCTTAATACACAAGGGACCTGTGTATCCAACTCTACCCTCCCCCCTTTACCTCTCCAAACTGCCCATCATCAAGATTTGCCATTTCTCTACAGGACTCTTGGACCTGGTGTTTTTGTTCATTCCTTTGTGCGTATCTACTATGTGCCAGACACCCTGTTAGGTGCTGGGATTACAACTGTAAGCAAGAGTAACACTATCCTTGAATCAAGACAGTTTTCTAATTATGGGTCTTGACTGTCCCAACTCTGTCCTACCCAAGGCAGCCACACCTTTCAGAAATGACAATCTCTTGTCCTGTGATACCCCTGCTGAAACAACTGCAACAGCATATGGTACAGTCTACGGGTAGGGAGACTGGGGGCAGAGCCAAGAACTTGTCCTTTTTTCTTAAGCAAGTCATTTCTCTGCAGGACTCAAATTTTCTTATATTAAATGAAGGAAGGAAACTAAGGATCTAAAAAGTAAATTTTATAATTCTCAGGCAAATGTTAATAAACACCACCCAACAAAACGCTACGGACTTAAAGCCAACTTCATTTCCCAGCCACAACCCGGTTCAGTCCAACCTGCTTGCTATAATTCACATTTTCAGATGAATTCTATGTTCTTGTGTAAATTCTTATTTGGGACTAATCTGCTAAAAAGGTAACATGGTGCAGCATAAAAACTCAGAGGCTGCAAACGAGCATTCTCTCTACCCCTACTTACAAAAACGGTTCTGCCTGGCTGGCACAGTAATTTGAGATTTCTGAGTCTGAATGCTTTCACAGAGTACAGCAGGTTTCTCTCATTTATGTTATCTGCCTGGCCCCTTAACATTTGAGGTTAGAGTAGTACAAACACTCCTATCTGCCCCACCAGTGCCCTATTCTCTTTTAATTAGATTTTTTTTTAAGTAAATGCAAACCCAGGTCTCGTTTCCTCCAGCTAATTTCCTACTTCCCCATTCTACTGAATAGGTCTCTTCTACTCATCTTTTCCTCCCACTGTAATTCGAAGCATCACACACAGGTAAGGCATTCAGAGGTCAAACTGGCATCCTACTGCTCTCATTTTTTGTTGTCTTTTCTTGATTTTGGCTGGAAAAAGGCCACACTACATTCTCTATCCACCTTTTGGAAGACTAATTCAGACTAATCTTACATTCTGCTTAGGCAACACTGCCTAACAAAGTTGTAGCTAGAGGAAGTAGAGCTCCAGAAATCCCGGCATAATCCGCTCGACAAATGGTAAAACTCTTATCCTTCTTTGGTTAGAGTTTTTTCCTCCAGGGTTAGACCACCTTCGTTGAGTTCGCTATTCATGCCCCCTTTCCTCCCCATAGTTCAACATTCTGTACACCTGAAGTGCTTAAAAGCTGAACTGCCTTGCCATTTTTGTTTTGTGTATCTCAAAAACGATACTACCATTCTCTTTTTTTTCCTGCCCCCCTTTCCTAATAACTGGTTTAGTGCAGGGCTCAGGCTTGCCTTTTAAGTCTGGCCAAACTGCGCCAATGCGGCTGTGTTTTAGAGGCTAGGCTCAAAACACAGCAAGAGCTCAATGAAAAGTTCCTGAAATGAACCGGCTTCTTCGAGCTCTTCAGCCTGACTGACACCCTATTTTCTTCGCTTTCTCACTCTGCCCGGTCCGAGAGCTCAAACATACTCATACCACTAAGGAGGCTCGCCGAACCTAGGTTTCTGCTATGACTGGGCTGGGGTCTCGTTTCCTCCTTACACTCTTAACGTCCAGGTTCAGCAAGAAACAAGAGTTCAGAGAGCCCTCAGACACACTCTGGGCTGAGTTTCTATAGAAGCCCTCCCGCCCCAAACGCGGCCGCACTCTCACCCGGACCCCCTGGCGGCTCGCCGTGCGGTTGGGGCCCGGGGGCACCGCCGTCCAGGATGGCGAAGGCTTCGTCGTTCTCGATGCCCGCAATCTCACTCTCTTGCTGCGCCAAGAAGGCCGCGGCAGGGTCTTCTTCGCTGGCACCAGCCACCCCATTCCCCAGCGCAGGGCCGCCGGGAGCGCCGGCAGGAGCGCCGAACGGATCTAATTCAGTCATGGCGGACAGTTCAACGGCACAAACGCGGCGTTAAGAGACAAGCCAAACGACCCACCAACACCGCGCCCCGCAGCGGCAACTGTGGCGGCGGCCGCGAACCGACGGCAAGCGGGAGGGAGAAGGCGGAAGCGGAAACCCTGCCCCTATATCCGGTTGGTGTAGGCGGTGTTGGAGAGCCTAAGGGATAACAACCAATCAGAGGACAGCTATGGTTCAAGAACTACCCAATCAGCAGAAGGAGGGGCGGGCCCCCGAGGAAAACTCGTGACTAGGGCCGTGGAGGCTTCGAGGGTGGTAGTGAGAGCAGCAAGGCCCTAGAGAGGCGGAAGTGGCCTGACTTAAAGCGGCCTTCCCCACCTGGCCTTTGGGGCGGTCTTGACCCCGGACTGCCACCTCTGAGGAGACTCAAGTGCCAAAGCCGGAGGTGAGGTGGAATGAGGGCGGCAACGATCGATCGGTCGACTACCAAGGAGGCAAGCTACTTAGGCTTTCTGAACCCACATTTCCTCGTTTTTAAATGGGAACGAGCATCCTGTACTGCTTCCGTCCCAGGCTCCTTGGGAGGACTGAATCCTTTCACGGCTTTGTACTGGCTTTATTAAAATATTTGTATGTGTTAATTCATTCACCCAGTCTGGATTGTTTTCCCCTGTAGAGCCGCCTGACTTAGACATAATTGATTCAAATCCGCTCTGATTTTTCTACCCCCACCGTATCTTTATAAAAAGTCGACTGTCTCTCCTTTCCAAAGCTCTTTTGCAGCCGGTACACCTTACCAGGGCTAGACAGAAGTTTCTAGAACTGGAACACTGTGCGTAGGGATCACTTAGAAATTTCATATGGAAACAGGCACCTGTATGGGAAGGGTATAATCACGCAGGGAGAGAGTGGTCAAGAAGAAACCCAGGTCTCCTGGGTACCTCTGTAATGGTAACAACCTCTTGTAAGTACATGTTTTGTCATCTAAGGAGAGCAGGAGCTTTCTCTAAAATTCCTTCAGTATTTTACCTCAGGGGATTTTGTCTACACCATAGAAAGGATAATGAGTGATCACAGTTAATCGTGGTCTTGCGAGATAAGCAGTGGCCAACAGGAGGACCTTTCTCCTTCATCACCACCCCCTAAAAAGGAAAAGAGCAAAGACCAACCAACCGGAGGTCAAAGAAGTCTCCAGAGATAGTCAGCAAGGGACAGGACAGTGGTTTTTAAAATATGCATGTATCTTTAATGACAAAAAGAGGTAATTATTTGCTTAAAGCGTGGATTTTTAGTCTTTTTTAGTACAGAACGTAGGAAAGTTTTGAAGAAAAACATTTAAGAAACTAAAAATTTTAGTGCCTGCACTACACTCAGTTTTCTCCTCCCTCTTCTTGTTTAATGCTCATCCCTAACATAAATTATCGACAACATATAATGTAGTTTCACATTCATCTTTTCTTGGAGACAATCTCTTCCTGTCCCGGGCGGAGGATAATAGGAAAGGAGGACCATGAGAGAGTCTAAAGACAATATTGGATGCTCACAGCAGTAGTAGCTGAGGGACAGATGGCACTCGCTCCCGCAAATAAATGGATACAGCTGAAGGCAAGTGTGGAGTCAACTCAGGGAGTGCTTGATTGCCCAGATGAGGATTATTCCTGAGCTTCAGGGGCTGTGAGGAGCTTTTGAAAGACTTTAAGCAGGCAATGACTTAGAACCCTGTTTTGAAAGAATCTTCTAGCAGCTCAGGCAGTGTAAGCATATGAGAGGGGTCTGAAAGCAGGGACGTCGGTTAGGAAAGGTGCTGCAGTGAACCTGCAGTGGTTTGGGAGAGGACAGGCTGAGGACGGTATTTCAAGAACAGAGCAGTGGGCTCCGATGGAAAGAAAATAATGGAGGTAATGTACAGAGAACTTGGTAACTGACAGCACTTAGGAGGGAAGACATTCACAGTAATATTTTTTAAAGATTTATTTTAGAAAGAGAATGCGAGCAGGGGGGAGCAGCAGAGGGAGAGGGAGAATCTCAAGCAGATTCCCTGCTGCTGAGCATGGAGCCCACCACGTGGGGCTCAGTCTCAAGACCCAGAGATTGTGACCTGAGCCAAATGAGGCTTAACAGACTGGGCCACCTAGGTGCCCCCACAAGCAATATTTATAGCTTAGAAAACCACGAACAGAAATAGCTACAACAGGAAAAGCCAGTTGAGTAGGATGAGGCAAGAGATAAGACCAAGACTTCAGTGTGGCTTCTTAGTGAGCCCAAGGGAACTGTGAGATACTCAGGAGGCATTCAACAGGATGTTGGAAATCAGTCTGACATTTAGGAGTGGAGGATCTACTTCTAGCAATGGTGGGCAGAGTTGCCTAGAGCGAACTCTTCTGCTGAAAATAACTAGAAAAGCTGGGCAAGAAGTTTTCAAAATCTGAGGGCATCAGCGGACTACCAAAGGAGTAAGGAATTGTAGGCCCAAGTTCTAGGAGAGGAGGGTAGGCCAAGAAGAATGATCCTAACATTTCCAGCCACTTTTTCTCTCAAAGAGATCGTTCTAAAAGCTAAGAAGGTGAGTAGGGCTTTCAGTAAACAAGGCTGGGAGGAGGGGCGCCTGGGTGACCTGGGTTAAGTGTCTGCCTTTGGCTCAGGTCATGGTCCCCGGGGGCCTGGGATTGGGCAGGCTCAGCAGAGAGCCTGTTCGTCTGTCTGCCCTTCACCCCACTCGTGCTCTCTCTCTCAAATAAATAAATCTTTGGGGCTTGGGGGACAAGGCTGGGAGGAGAAAATAATTGAGGGCTTACCAAAAAGGAAGGACCCTGATAACTGTATCAGGTTTTTAGTTGGGCTCCTGCAGGGCTACACAGTTGGAATCATGGTGAAAATTGACTAAATCACAGCTTTGAATCCTATAATTCCTTGATTGAATTAAAATGATCCAGGCTTTCTAGTGTCTTTAGCCTAGAACTGCCTGCCAAAAGCAACAGTAAATTCTCTCCAATAGAAAAAATTTCATCCAAAAATAACTTAAGCATGAAAAGACAGAACGTGCTCAGAGACATTTTGAGAGACAGACTTAGAATAGAAATTCCAGAGCAATCAGATAATGGATTTATCAGACCTAGGTTTTAAAATAGCTGTGATTAGGGCACCTGGGTGGCTCAGTGGGTTGAAGCCTCTGCCTTTGGCTCAGGTCATGATCTCAGGGTCCTGGGATCAAGCCCTGCATTGGGCTCTCTGCTCGGGCTCTGCTCAGCGGGGAGCCAGCTTCACACACACACACACACACACACACACACACACACCCGCCTGCCTTTCTGTCTACTAGTGATCTCTATAAAAAAAAAAAATCTAAAAAAAAATAAAATAAATAAAATACCTATGATTGAGTTAAAGGAATTAAAAGAGAATTTCATTGCTGTGAAGTGTGTAAGCCTGGCGATTCACAGACCTGTACCCCTGGGGCTAATACATTATATGTTAATTAAAAAATTTAAAAAATAAAATAGAGAATTTCAACAGTTTAAAAATGTGAGAACTAAAATTTATAGTATTATTAAAATATATAGTGTTATTAACAATTCAGTGGATAAATTTAATAGTGGATCAGACTTGGCTGAAAAGAGAATTAGTGAGCCAGAAGATAAAGCACAAAAGTATCCAGGCTGAAACACCAAAAGGAGCATAAAAATCATATGGGATATGAGGAATAGGTTTTGGGTTGCTTTTTTAAGGTTTTATTTCGCAGAGAGAGAGTGTGTGTGAGCACGTGTGCTCACAAGCGAGCAGTGGTAGGGGGCTGGAGACGGAGAGAATCTCAAACAGAATCAGCGCTGCAGGCAGAGCCAGATGCAGACTCAGTCCTGTGATCCCAAGACTGTGACTGGAGCCAAAACCAAGAGTCAGAGGCTCAACTGACTGAGCCATCCAGGTGCCCCTGGAATAGGTTTTATAAACATGTAATTTCAGCTAGAAGGAGGAGAGAGAGAATGGAGCAGTGTTAGAAGATAAAATGGCTAAGAATTTCCCAAAATTGATGAAACCAGACCATAGTTTTAAGAATCACCATGAACTCCAAGCAAGATAAGAAGTACCCTCCCAACAAAATGTAATGAGCACTGGGTATTATATAAGACTGATGAATCACTGACCTCTACCTCTGAAATTAATAATATGTTAAGTGTTAATTAAATTAAAAAAATTAAAAATTAAAAAATACTCCCCTAAAACAATTTTTAAAAAATTTACAGGCCTCTTGTGCATTTTTGAATTGATATCTTAATTTTTTCATAACTTAAGTAGTTGCAAGGATGTAATTTCTAATATATTGTAAATATTGATCCTTTCAAATAAAATTGTTGCATTGCTCTTCTAAATGTATCTAATGATGTCTACGTAATGGTTTGATACTATCATCCATTAAAAAAATACATTGCAAAGTCTTTTATTAACACTAAAAAACTTCATAGTATTACTTTTGCTCCTTGAACATATCCCATCATTCCAACACTTGCCCCTAGAATGTTTTTGTGCTTGAAAGACTTTTAAGATTTCATATATTTATTTATTTATTTATTTTTAAAGATTTTATTTATTTATTTGACAGACAGAGATCACAAGCAGGCAGAGAGGCAGGCAGAGAGAGAGGAGAAAGCAGGCTCCCCGCCGAGCAGAGAGCCTGACGTGGGGCTCTATCCCAGGACCCTGAGATCATGACCAGAGCCAAAGGCAGAGGCTTAACCCACTGAGCCACCCGGGCGCCCCTCATTTATTTATTTTAGAGATATAAAGCAGGAGGAGGAGCAGAGAGAGAGGGACAAGTAGATTCTGCACTGAGCATGGAGCTCCTCTCAGGGGTCCATCCCATGAGTCTGAGATCACAACCTAAGTTGAAACCCAAGATTGGACACTCAACCAATTGAGCTACTCAGGCAGCCCTGCTTGAAAGACTTTTATTGGTCAATGTATCATACTTCTTTGTAACAAAAATATGTGATATAAGTATAATTGACTATTTAAAAATATCCCATGACCATAAGGCTCTTAAAATTTTGTTTTGGATTGACATAATTATTAGTAGTATACATTTAATCAAATAGCAAAGTATACCAGAAAATCTTATAATTATTAAATATAAAACAAAATTTTATTAG